AGTAGAGACGGGGTTTCACCATGTTGACCAGGATGGTCTCGATCTCTTGACCTCGTGATCCACCCGCCTCGGCCTCCCAAAGTGCTGGGATTACAGGCTTGAGCCACCGCGCCCGGCTTATTTTTGAAATGGAGTCTCGCTCTGTCACCTAGGCTGGAGTGCAGTGGTGCAGTCTTGGCTTACTGCAACCTCTGCCTCCTGGCTTCAAGCAATTCTCCTGCCTCAGCCTCCTGAGCAGCTGGGACTACAGGTGGCCGCCACCAAGCCTTGCAAATTTTTTTTTCTTTGCGAGATGGAGTCTTGCTCTGTTGCCCAGGCTGGAGTGCAGTGGCGTGATCGCAGCTCACTGCAACCTCTGCCTCCCAGGTTGAAGCTATTCTCTTGACTCAGCCTCCCAAGTAATCTGGGATTACAGGCACATGCCACCATGCCCGGCTAATTTTTACATATTTTTTAGTAGAGAAGGGGTTTCACCAGGTTGACCAGGCTGGTATCGAACTCCCAACCTCATGATCTACCTGCCTCAGCCTCCCTAAGTGTTGGTATTATAGGCGTCAGCCACCACGCCTGGCACGAGCTAATTTTTGTGTTTTTAGTAGAGACAGGGTTTCACTATGTTGGCTAGGCTGATCTCAAACTCCTGACTTCATAATCTACCCACCTCGGCCTCCCAAAGTGCTGGGATTACAGGCATGAGCCACCACACCTGGCCATATATTTATTTATTTTTAGTAGAGATGGAGTCTTGTCATGCTGCCCAGATCTCAAACTGCTGGGCTTAAGTGATCCTTCCACCTTGGCCTCCCAAAATGCTGGGATTACAGGTGGGAGCCACTATGCCCAGACTTCTTACATAATTTTAATATTTAAAAAAATACTTAATGTTGGACTCTATTTCACTTTTGCGCTAGGTTAATAGCTTTCTACGTGGTCTCTTTATATTCTATTTCTCTTTTTTTTTTTTTTTTTTTTTTTTTTGAGACGGAGTTTCACTCTTGTTACCCAGGCTGGAGTGCAATGGCGCGATCTCGGCTCACCGCAACCTCCGCCTTCTGGGTTCAGGCAATTCTCCTGCCTCAGCCTCCTGAGTAGCTGGGATTACAGGCACGCGCCACCATGCCCAGCTGATTTTTTGTATTTTTAAGTAGAGACGGGGTTTCACCATGTTGACCAGGATGGTCTCGATCTCTTGACCTCGTGATCCACCCGCCTTGGCCTCCCAAAGTGCTGGGATTACAGGCTTGAGCCACTGCGCCCGGCTATTCTATTTCTCTTATCAATTCCAATTCACACCATGGCCAGATTAACCTTTCTTTGCTTAAAAACTCTGTGACTCTTTTGCATATAGAAGAAAAGTCAAAACTCCTTAACCTGGCACTTAACGCTCTATGTGTTCTGGCACCACCTAGCTTACCAACTTTGATCCCTACTGTTACCCAATGGCTTAAATGAGTTGGGTAATTAATTCTAATGGAAAAGAAGCAGGCACTGAAAATGCCAAAATATTGCATATGTACTTGGTATTCAACCTCGCAAAAACAAATTAGTTGTGCCACCATTCATGTTTTTTTTCTATCAAAGCCTGAGACACAAAACCATTTCTACCTCTGGCTAAGAATCACTAGCCTATGCTAAAATATACTGCATTAAAAAGAAGCTGAGTGCGCTGGCTCATGCCTGTAATCCCAGAATTTTGGGAGGCCAAGGCAGGTGGATCGCCTGAGGACAGGAGTTCGAGACCAGCCTAGACAATATGATGAAACCCTGTCTCTACTAAAAATTGAAAAATTAGCTGGCAGACATCTGTAATCCCCGCTACTCAGGAGGCTGAGGCAGGAGAACTGCTTCAACTCGGGAGGCAGAGGTTGCAGTGAGTTGAGATTATGCCATTGCATTCCAGCCTGGGCAACAAGAGCAAAACTCTGTCTCAAAAAAAAAAAAAAAAAAAAAAAAAAAGAGAGAGATGCTACTTTAAGCTAAAATATTTTTCATTTCCTGACTAGCAATGTCAATTCTAAGGACCTCTGTGAAGCCAAAACTTAAAGTTCATGATATAAGCCCAAGTAAAGTGACTTGTTGCTGGGTGGAAATTAGGGGGTTCGGGACGTTAGCCTCACCCCTACAGAGGAAGTACCAGTTTTGGGGGTAGGAGTTTTAAATTTCTGCTAATATTCAAGAGCCATGTTCTTTAGCTGTTGGCAAGCTAGCAAAGATCTGAATTATGTTTTTCCCCTCATCTTTTCATAGCTGGTTCCTTCTCACCATTCAGATCTTACAGGTTTCAACTTCAAGGTCAAATCATTAGAGGTCTTCTCTGAACACTCCAGTTAAAATTGCCCACCTACTCAAGTCACAATTATATTTACTGACCTAGATTATCACTATCTGAAATCATTACTTCCTATGTATTTGTTTGATTGTGTCTTCTATTATAATGTATAACAAAAGATACCTTGCTTATTTGTCATTATATCCCCAGCATCTAAAAGAGCCTGGTACATAAGATGCTGAAACAACTGGGCGCTGGAGCTCACGCCTGTAATGCCAGCACTATGGGAGGCAGAGAGGCAGGAGGATCGCTTGAGCCCAGGAATTCTAAATGCCTGGGTAACACAGGGAAACTCCACCTTTAAAATTAAAAATAGGCCAGCACGGTGGCTCACGTCTGTAATTCCAGCACTTTGGGAGGCCAAGGTGGGTGGATCACCTCAGGTCAGAAGTTCCAAACCAGCCTGGCCAATATGGTGAAATCTGTCTCTACAAAAATACAAAAAAATTAGCTGGGTGTGGTGGAAGGCACCTGTAATCCAGCTACTCAGCTGTAATCCCAGCTCCAGGTGCCTATAATCCCATCACTTTGGGAGCTGAGGCAGTCGGATCACTTAGGTCAGGAGTTCAAGACCAGCCTGGCCAATATGGTGAAACCCTGTCTCTACTAAAAAAAAAATATACAAAAATTAGCCAGGTGTGGTATTGGGCATCTCTAATCCCAGCTGCTTGGGAGGCTGAGGCAGGAGAATTACTTAGACGCAGGAGGCGGAGTTGCAGTGAGCCAAGATTGCGCCACTGCACTCAAGTCTGGGCAACAGAGTGAGACTCCATCTCAAAAACATATAACAAAAAAAAAAATACGTTGAGTGTGGGACTCATGTCTATAATCCCAGTGCTCTGGGAGGCAGAGTGGGGTGGATCACTTGAGGTCAGGAGTCAGGAGTCACTAGCCTGGCCAGCATAGTGAAACCCCATCTCTACTAAAAATACAAAAAAATTAGCCAGGCGTGGTGGCATGCACCTGTAGTCCAAGCTACCTGGGAGGCTGAAGTTGCAGTAGCTGAGATCGCGCCATTGCACTCCAGCCTAGGGGACAGAGCAAGACTCCATCTCAAAAAATAAAAATAAAAATAAAATAAATAAATAAAAAGAAAAGATGCTGAATAAATGTTTGCTGATGAATGAACAACTATCATATAACAAAAGTCCTAATTCAGTCATAATTTAGAATAGAAGGGAAACTGCTCTTACCCATTTGAATCTTCAAAACATTTTTGTAGAGTTCCATCAGTTTCCAGTCTGTCTGCAAAATGTTTCAATTCTTCAGAAAGAGAAGATGCTAGACAGAACAAATTTATGTGTCATAAAATAAAGATAATATACGTTTTCACAGTGAGATGCTAACAAAGATATAATATACTTAAGGTAGTCTCAGCTCTATGGTCTGCTGTTACATGTTGGTCCTTGAGCCCACCCAAAAGTGTGGAGTTAAGTATGTAGAAAAATTTTATCTTTTTTTTTTCTGGTAGGTATAGATAAAATGAAAGACAACTCGTATTTATTTATTTATATAGAGAGACTCTCGCTCTGTCACCTAGGCTGGAGTGCAGTGGTGTGATCTCAGCTCACTGCAACCTCCACCTCCTGGGCTCAAGCAATACCCCCCCCTCAGCCTCCCTATTTGCTGGGAAGACAGTTGGCACGACCATGTCCAGCTAATTTTTGTATTTTTTGTAGAGATGGGGTTTCCCCATGTTGCCCAGGCTTGTTTCCAACTCCTGGGCTCAAGGGATTCGCCCGCCTCAGCCTCCCAAAGTCCTGGGATTATAGGCATAAATCACTGTGCCCAGGTTTTATGGCATTTATGATAAATGTTTCTATAAATGACCTGTGAAAAAGCAGTTTGAAGTATATCTGGGGCTGGGTGCAGTGGCTCACACCTATAATTCCAGCACTTTGGGAGGCCAAGTCAGGTGGATCACTTAAGTCTAGAGTTCAAGACCAGTCTGGGCCAAAAGGATGAAACCCTGTCTCTACTAAAAATAGGAAAACTAGCCAGGATGGTGGTGCACTCCTGTAATCCTGGCTGCTCGGGAGGCTGAGGCAAGAGAATTGTTTCAACCTGGGGAGCGGAGGCTGCGGTGAGCTGAGATCCCACCACTGCACTCCAGCCTGGCGACAGAGCAAGACTGCATCTCAAAAAAAAAAAAAAAAAATCCTAATTTTTAAAAATGACAAGGGGCCAGGCCTCGGTGTGTCACACCTGTAATCCCAGCACTTTAGGAGGTCGAGGTGGGTGAATCACCTGAGGTTAGGCGTTTGAGACCAGCCTGGCCAAAATGGTGAAACCTCATCTCTACTAAAATGTACAAAAATTAGCTGGGCGTGGTGGCGTGCACCTGCAATCCCAGCTACTGGGGAGGCTGAGTCAGGAGAATCGCTTGAACCCAGGAGGTGGAGGCTGCAGTGAGCCGACAGCATGCCACAGCACTCCAGCCTGGGCGACAGGGTGAGATTGTCTCAAGTCAAAACAAAACAAAACACAAAAATTATCCAGGCATGGTGGTGTGTGTCAGGAGGCTCAGGCAAGAGAATCGCTTGAACCCAGGAGGCAGACAAACATTGCTGTGAGCTGAGATCACCCCACTGCACTCCAGCCTGGGCAACAGAGTAAAGCTCTGTCTTAAAAAAAAAAGGTGGGGGAGCTAGTTTTATGAAGCAGCAGCTTCTCTAAACAGGGATGCTGCGAGTGAGGTTTTGACTGCCGTGTCAAAGCTCACTTTTCTGTTAGCAACTTACCTTTGGCTCTAAAACTTTCAAGGCTGAAGCCCTTAGTGTCTCGTAGGAAAGGTTCAAGTTTCTGAACAGAGAACTTAATAAAGAAAAGCATTTTTAGTACAATGACCAAAAATTTCCAGGCCAGTCCTAAATTTATGTCAATTTATGATGTTTAATAAATGTGAAACTAACTAAAATTGATTTAATTTGTACACCTAAGACTCTTCACATAAATGAATAAATAGATCAAGAAAAAAAACCTTTCATTGGCTGGGCATGGTGGCTCACGCCTGTAATTCCAGCACTTTGGGAGGCTAAGGTGGGCGAATCACGAGGTCAAGAGATCAAGACCATCCTGGCTAACATGGTGAAACCTCATCTCTACTAAAAACAAACAAAAAAATTAGCCAGGCATGGTGACGCATGCCTGTAATCCCAGCTACTTGGGAGGCTGAGGCAGGAGAATCGCCTGAACCTGGGAAGTGGAGGCTGCAGTGAGCCGAGATCGCACCACTGCACTCCAGCCTGGTGATAGAGCAAAACTGCATCTCAAAAAAAAAAAAAACCCTTTTTTGCTTGGACTATACATTTTGACTTTTGGTTTAGGGAAAAAAAAATTGTCATTTAATTCACGAAAATTACCTGCTTATCTAAACTGATGTAAGTACCTGTTAGCCACATAATAAGTATATAAAAATATAACTTTAAAAAAACCAGCCGGGTGCAGTGGCTCAAGCCTGTAATCCCAGCACTTTGGGAGGCCGAGGCGGGTGGATCACGAGGTCAAGAGATCGAGACCATCCTGGTCAACATGGTGAAACCCCGTCTCTACTAAAAATACAAAAAATTAGCTGGGCATGGTGGTGCGTGCCTGTAATCCCAGCTACTCAGGAGGCTGAGGCAGGAGAATTGCCTGAACCCAGGAGGCGGAGGTTGCGGTGAGCCGAGATCGCACCATTGCACTCCAGCCTGGGTAACAAGAGTGAAACTCCGTCTCAAAAAAAAAAAAAGCACCATTGCAAAAAAAAAAAAAAAACAAAACAAAAACCAAAAAAAAAAAAAAACCATATAACACGGGTAATATATTGATTTAGTACGTAGTCAGAACTCAAATGTCCATCATAACTTAGATTCTTACCTCTACCCATTTGAAACCCCTGTAATTTGCTGCCATGGGCAAATGAGACTACTGGGGAAATCCCTGTTAGCTACTTGGTTAGCAACACCAGCACTAATGGGGTTGGTACAGAGCCTAGTCCAGAGAGAAATCAGCTAATTGGTCTAAATCTGGCTTTCAAACTAATTCTACCCAGAGAGAAACATCTTTTAATCTTAACAGGTTAATTACACAGTATTGATATCTCTTTAAGATTGTTGTAATAGCAGTTAATACCCACAAAAACATTTCCCAGTTCTAAGAATCTCACCTGGAAACTGGAAAGCAGGAGAGAGCCAAGCCGTTTCCTTTCTGCTAAATCGACACTGATAGACCTGCTGAGCTCTAACATAAAACATTGCCACATATAAGGAGCTGGTCAGTTACATAGTTAGCAACTAACAAAACTGAAAAATTTCCTCCCTCTTAATAAATCGAACTTAAGGCAAGAACAGCCTTTTCTGGTTTAAGAGACAATTCTAATTTTTCCAGGATCACTAAGGAATGAAGTTTACCCATTTGTGCATCCAAACTTAAAAAAAAAGAAAAAAAGTTATCTGGGCACAGTGGCTCACACCTGTAATACCAGCAATTTGAGAGGCCTGGGTGGGTGGATGACCTGAGGTCAAAAGTTGGAGACCAGCCTGCCCAACATGGTGAAACTTTGTCTCTACTAAAAATACAAAAATTAGCCAGGCATGGTTCTGGGCACCTGTAATCCCAGCTACTTGGGAGGCTCAAGCAGAAAAGTCACTTGGACCCGGGAGAAAGAGGCTGTGGTGAGCCAAGATCGTGCCACTGTACTCCAGCCTGGGTGACAGAGTGGGACTCTGTCTCAAAAAAAAAAGTTATAAGAATCTTTGCATTGTCCGGGTATGGTGGCTCATGCCTATAGTCCCAGCACTCTGGGACGGAGGCAGCAGATTGCTTGAGACTGGGAGCTGGAGACCAGCCTGGTCAACGTGGTGAAACCCCATCGCTACTAAAAATAGAAAAATTAGCTGGGCGTAGTGACATGTACCTGTAATCCCAGCTACTCCAGAGGCTGAGGCACAAGAATCGCAAGGGTCCAGGAGGCAGAGGCTACAGTGAGCCAAGAGGTTGCAGTAGCTGGGACTACAGGCATTTTTAGTAGAGACAGAATTTCTCCATGTTGGCCAGGCTGGTCTTGAGCTCCTGGCTTCAAGTGATCTGCCTGCCTTGGCCTTCCAAAGTGCTCTGATTACAGGTGTGAGCCACCGTACCTGGCCACATTTGAGTATTTTTTTGTAGGACAGGCACTGCAATGTGCTTTAAACACTTTGTAATGTATACTATAAGACGAGTACTATTATAAAGTTCCATTTTACAAATGGGAAAACTGCAGCTCTGAGGGGAAATGACTTATTTGCGGCCAGAAATTGGGAGCCAGAATTCAAACCCAAGTCTGTCACCAATATCTGTGTTTTTCCCACTATTACCACAATGCCTCTCTATAATGACCTAATAATAGCATTAATAGCTAACATTTGTTGAACACTTGCTATATATTTTGTGAAATGCTATATACATACTTCATTAAACCTTGAGGCAAGTATCCTATGAATTCCATTCTGTTGACAGATAATGACACAAGCACAAAGGCTGTACAGTAATAGGTAACTTGCCCAAGGTCATACAGTGAGTTATTAGACTGAATTGGGTATTTTATATAATTATGCGACTAAATCCCTAACCAACTGCAAGATGTAGATAGTTTTTTTAAAATTATGTCCATTTGAAAACAATTATTACATAGTAAAGGAAGTTTGCTTTGTGAATTATGAGAGCTACATTTCTTATTGCCCTCTAGCTTCAGCTGGTTGTGTTTTTAAAGTTCTCTTCTCTCTTGTCACTACTGTTACCAAGAAAAACAGGATACTTTCTGCCTACAACTAAGGAAACCTGGCAGGTTGCCAGAAATAATCAGGCAATAACCAATCTTATTACATTGGTGCCTTTCTGTTTATTTATTCATTTTTTTGAGTTGGAGTCTCTCTCAGCCGCTCGGGCTGGAGGGCAATGGAGTGTTCTTAGCTCACTGCAACCTCTGCCTCTCAGGTTCAAGCAATTCTCCTGCCTCAGCCTCCTGAGTAGCTGGGATTACAGGTGCATGCCACCACATCCAGCTAATTTTTATATTTTTAGTAGAGACAGGGTTTCACCATGTTGGCCAGGCTAGTCTTGAGCTCCTGACCTCAGGTGATCTGCCTGCCTCAGCCTCCCAGAGTACTGGGATTACAGGCGTGAGCCACTGTGCCCGGCTGGTGCCTTTCTGTTTAAGTGTAAATGCTCTGGCATAGAGCTAAAGGTAGGGCTAACTTCAGGGATGCACTAATGTTTTCTCAGTACATCTAGGGAATAAAGTACACAGGCTTTGTGGCAGCAATTTTGATGTGCTAAGTGGCTATGTTTACCCAGATTTCTTTCTTTGCATAAGACCACTTGAAAATGAAGTACCTTAAAATGAATCACAACAGCTTAACATTTCAGGGCTTATTATGTGCCAAACACTGTGTTATGTAAGATAGGTATTATTTCACCCCCAGGTTGCTGATGAGGACCTTACGGCAAAGAAGGTTAAGTAATTTACTCAAGATCACAGAGCTAGTATAGTCTTCCTGAAATATGGAAGCCTTTCCATGTTATATTCTGTACTTAGATGCTTACTAAGATATAGTTACTATTGTAAATTCACACAAAATAACACAAATCATTCTGTATAGCATCCCTAAAAACTAAGTTTTTCACTCCAGACACAAGCGCATGCACAGACACACGTGCACACACGCACACACACACACGCACACACACACACACACAGAAAGGAAGTGGGGAGGGAGGAGAGGGGGTAGGGAGAAAGAGACAAAAGTTTTTTAGAGACAGAGGTCTCACTTTTTCACCCAGGATGGAGTGCAGTGGCACAGTCATAGCTCACTGCTACCTTGAATTCCTGGGCTCAAGTGATCTTCTTGCCTCAGCCTGTCTCCAGTAGCTGGGACTACAGGTACATGCCACTATGCCTTGCTATTTTTTAAAAAACTTTTTGTAGAGATGGGGCTCGCCATCTTGCCTAGGCTGTTCTCAAACTCCTGGGCTCAAGTGATCCTCTTGCCTTGGCCCCCCAGAGTGCTGGGATTACAGGCATGAGGCACTGTGCCTGGCCCACTCTAGGTATTTGTATGTGCATCCTCCGAGATATTTCTAGTTATAAAGTTAAAATCTGTTATCAACCCAACTACCTTCTGCTCCACTTTAGGGTATGAGACAGAAAACTGCAGGAAGAAATCTTTAATGTCTCTCATCCTAGCAGAGGTAAGTACTGAACAATTAGAAATTTATTTGTAAATAAATTTCTAATAAGTAATAAGTAGTAAGCCAGGTGCAGTGGCTCATGCCTGTTGTCCCAGCTATTTGGGAGGCTGAAGTGGGAGGACTGCTTGAGCCCAGGATTTCAAATCCAGCCCGGGCAACATGGCAATATCCTGTCTCTTAAAAAAATATAGCAATAATGCTGAACATTTACTAGGTGTTTGACAAAAGTACTTATAAAGTAGCAAGCCATGTCTATTCAACTACACTTTCTGCCATACCTCACTGCCTCTTATCTGAGCTGGAACCTCACTGTCTTGTGTACCCAGCACCCCACCTGTGATGCCCTGGTGAATGGGATGCAGTGACTTCCGCCGGTTCGTTTCTTTCATACTTGCTCGCCGCCAGGATTGCCTCCTGTCTTGATAACTGGCAAACTGTTCTCGAGGGGACAAATGAAGGGACCTCGAGTGAAGTCTTTCCTCGTGGCTGAGTTCATAATTTTCCCCTTTTTTAGGGCTAGAGCCAAGGTGAATTCTTTCCTCTGAAACGCCTTGATGCATCTCCAGGGAGGCAGATGTTTTAGTAAACACTTCCACAGGGCTGAGACTTGATTCCAATTGATGATCATGAGTCTTAGACATCACTGGTCCTTTTTCTAGCATTTGTTATAAAAAAGTCAAAATACAAAATCAAACCCACCACAACTATTTGTGCAAAAAAGAGGAAAAAGTAAATATATGCCCGCAGATTGTGGAAACATTAAGAAAGCATCTATACAAATAATGAATATGTGACTCCAAATCCACCAGGAGCCAGGAAAGATTTGAGTATAGCTCAGAAGCCTGAACCCAAGGTAAGAGGTACTGAATTTCACTACAATACTTACCATCTATGATCTCTGATCTAGTCACTGAAGTCATCCTAGGTGGTGAACTCTGAAAATAGGAAAATGAAGGGATCTGTTCTTCACATTTCAGCTGCAGTCTCAGAAGGGGTTTTATTGCTCCAGAATAGGCCTTGTGTTTTCTAGCCTCTCGGAACTGCCCTTATCCACCTCCCTGACAGAGAATATCAGCAGGGGCCATTATCTCCTCTTCTGAATTTCTATACACCTTGTTGGTGGAAATATTCAAATCTCCCTTAACAAACACCCTACCTTACTTCCCAATTACTTTGTGTTTAGTCCCTAATTCCATTGATGACATTATGGTCTACTTGGTCTTTCAAACTAGAAAAACCACACCATCCTTTACTTCTTATTCTTAGTTTTCCAGATCCAAAATCCTAACTGTTCTATAAACAGTCTCTAAATCTTTTCTCCATTCTCACTGTTACTAGTTTGTTTATTTATTATTTTGAGACAGGGTCTCGCTCTGTTGCCCAGTGCAGTGGCGCAATCTTGGCTGATTGCAACCTCCTCCTCCCCAGTTCAAGTGATTCTCCTGCCTCAGCCTTCCCAGTAGGTGGGATTACAGGCGTGTACCACCATGCCTGGCTAATTTTTGCATTTTTGGTAGAGACAGATTTCCCCTTGTTGGCCAGGCTGGTCTCAAACTCCTGGCCTCAAGTGATCCTAGGCCTCCCAAAGTCTGGGATTACAGGCATAAGCCACCACGCCCAGCTTCACTGTTACTAGTCTAGCAAAGGTCTCATAACTTGTGGTGCCCCCTCCCACTATCTAATAGTCTCTCCACTAGTTTTCCTACCTCCAACTGCCCCTCTCCAGTCTACTCTTTTTTTTTTTTTTGAGGCGGAGTCACTCTGTCACCCAGGCTGGAGTGTAGTGGCGCAATCTCGGCTCACTGCAACCTCCACTTCCCAGGTTCAAGTGATTCTCCTGCCTCAGCCTCCTGAAGAGCTGGGATTACAGGCACCCACCTCCACACCCACTAATTTTTGTATTTTTAGCAGAGACAGGGTTTCCCCACGTTGGCCAGCCTGGTCTCGAACTCCTGACCTCAGGTGATCCTCCCACCTTGGCCTCCCAAACTGCTGGGATTACAGGCGTGAGCCACCGCACCCAGCCCAGTCTATTCTTTAGACAGCTGCCGAAACTCTTCCAAAGTGTACTCAACATTTTAGATAATCTAGTCCCAATCTACCCATTCCTGCTTTCTCCTCCCACTCCTATTCCCTGTACTACTTCTCAATCTTTGCACATATCTGTCCTTCTACCTGTTAAACTTATAAATCCTCCCCAACCTAGCTCAAATATGAAGCTTTCACATCACTTTGGCAGAATTGGTGGCTATGCCCCTTGTTCTTCTTAGCATTGGCTATAAAATCTGTTTACATGTCTGCCTCCCCAGCCAGGCAGTATTTGTATTCCTAGTGCCTGTCATGAACACCTAACTGGAAGAAGTCAGGGACGTGACTTGGGCATCTCTGCATTTTCCACGCTATCCCTGACTCCCAGCAGAAGTCTGTTTGTGGGGGATGCGAAGTAAAAACATACGAATATATGCAGAGGGACAAAAAGGAAAAGATAACAAGGAGGAGTCGGTCAAGGATCTGAATCCCCCACAGTCCTTACGACTGTATTCCACAGTTCCAGGCTTGGATAATAACGACTGTATCATACAGATCCAAGCGAGATAATAATGACTGTATTACACAGATCCAGGCTTGAAAAAGCGTCAACTGTCAACTGTTAAACGCTTATTCTATGCCGGGACCTGTGCTATGTAAGCGCTTTACTTGCATCATTATTCCATTTGATCCTTTCCACAACTCCGTAAGCACCATTAACTCCACTTTGCAGACAGGGGAACTGAGGTTCAGGGGGGCAAAACGCCCCCAAGCTTGTGACACAGCCAGCCTGGGGACAGAGGGGAAATTCGAACCCAGGCGTCTCCCCTCGGCCCTCTGCCTAGTCCTCAACCCCGTTTCTGGAGCCTAGGTCCCTCGCTCGGCAGAGAGGTCTCTAATGGAGTTGGTGGGGGAGCCTGCTCTCGGGTTTCATTTCACCCAGGGGGACATTGCCGCGCCCCCGGGGGCTCCCCAGTGTCGATGGTTGGGGCCGTGGGGTGCGACGGGTGGGGCTGGGCCGAGGGGTACGAAGCCAAAGAGTGGTGCGGCGGTGGGCGGGGCCACATCAGGGGACAAGTCTGTGACTTCCTAACCTCAGAGCGACGCCCGTCCAGTCCGGAGCCTCCGTCCCTGAAGCACAAGGCCACGGGTCGCTTTCCACAGCCCTAGGTCACTCCAGGACCCCTTGCACCGCTGCAGCCTATCTTCCCGTCTGGGTCAAGTGGTTCGCCCGCCTTCTACGTCACGGTCACCGCCTCCAAAACTCCCGCCAACCAAGGGCGCATGCGCGACCGTCAGCTTCTCGGGCACGCGCGCGCAGAACGCCTGCCTCCGACAACGCGCATGCGTATACCGCCATCCAAGGCTACTGGCAGCCCGCTCCTGTTTTCCAAGCCGTTCACGTCCTGTCCGGCCACCTCACCACCTCCCCCCAACACCCCGCCCGAGAGTCCCTTTCCGGGACTTGCCAAGCTATCGTGTCCTTTTGCCCCGACGGCCCCAGAGCCCATCCAAGATGGGGGAAACAGGCCCAGAGAGATTCTTGCCGACGGAATATAGTGCCTCAAAGGGCATCTGATGCCCGGCCCCCGTCGCCAGGCTCTAGTCCCCACTCCCTTTATCTCCTTAACTCCCGAAATGTGGACCGTGACTCTCGCCAGGTTGGACTGGAGCTCTGAGTTCAGTTTGCCTCACAGCCTATCCTCCTGCTCTAGGACTTTTTCTCTCATTTCCAGGCCACCCCCTCAAACTGCTTGCTTTACTCAAGCTGCTCTGCCTGGGAAGGACTTCCCTGCTTTTCCTAGCAACATCGTCCAGTTTTTTTGACACGGAGTCTCGCTCTGTTGCCCACGCTGGAGTGCAGTTGCGCAATCTTGGCTCAGGGAACCTCTGCCTCCCAGGTTGAAGCGATTCTGCCACAGCCTCCCCAGTAGCTGAGATTACAGGCGCCCACCACCACGCCTGGCTAATTTTTGTATTTTTAGTAAAGACGGGGTTTTACCATGTTGGCCAGGCTGGTCTCAAACTCCTGACCTCAGGTGATCCACCCACCTCAGCCTCCCAAAGTGCTGGGATTACAGGCAAGAGCCACTGCACCCAGCCACATCCTTCGACTTTAAGCCTCAGCTAAGGAATGATTTTTCTCGGAGCCTTCTCTGTGTCCACAGGATGAAAACCAACTGTCCTTTCTGTGCTCCCAAGCGCCCAATCTGTGCCTGCTCCACTATCCCATGCTGGCCTGGGAGGCTTCAGGGAGCGGGCTGCTTCCTTAGCACCCAGCACGGCGCCACCAAAATGTCCCCTCGGATGTGCACAGTCCTTTCCACAGGGAAACCTCCAAATGTTAAATTATAAGGAGCCCACAAAGTCCAAAAGAGGGGTTGGAGAGAGCAGCTGGAGCTGACTGTGGTCATTCTTCCATAACAGCTGTGGTCCTTGGAAAACTTTTCTGGTGGGAGACAAAAATCTGCCTTCCTGAAATTTCCACTCTGTGGTTCCAGCCTGTGGCTACAGCAGCCATGCTGAAAGTAGAGATTTGCCTTTGGCTCCCTGAATATCACTTTCTAGGGTTGAGAGGCACCCAGTTTCTTTTATGCTTGCCTGCCTCTTAAACTCCTTTCTGTCAGTGTGCCAGGAAGAGAACTCTGTTCCCAGCTAGGGCTGGCCATGCTGGGGCACACTGAGAATATTACTTCATGGAATCCAGACCCAATACATCTTCTACATCGTGTTCCTGCTTTGAATTGTTACATGGCTCCCTCCTGTCCCCACGAGGCACATTTTTTTTCCCCCTATAAGGTACTGTGTCATCAGGCCAGGTGTGGTGGCTCATGCCTGTAATCCCAACAGTTTGGGACGCTGTGGCCAGTGGATCAGGATCACTTGAGGTCAGGAGTTCAAGACCAGCCTGGCCAACTTGGCAAAACCCCGTCTCTACTAAAAATACAAAAATTAGATGGGCGTGGTAGTGTGCACCTGTAATCCCCGCTACTCAAGAGGCTGAGGCAGGAGAAGCACTTGAACCCAGGAGGCAGGGATTGCAGTGAGCTGAGATCATGCCACTGTACTCCACTCTGGGAAACAACAAGACTCCATCACAAAAAAGAAGAAAGAGAAAGAAAGAAAAAGAAAAAGAAAGAAAAGAAGGAAAGAAAGAAAGAGAAAGAAGAAAGAAAGAGAAAGAAAAAAAGAAAGAAAAAGAAAGAAAGGAAGGAAGGAAAGAAAGAAAGAGAAAGAAAAAAAGAAAGAAAGAAGGGCACTGTGTGATCTGACCCAGCCTCTTCTTTCAGTTCCCCAGTTCTGCTCTGCTTTTTTGTTGAGTCTTGCTCTGTCACCAGGCTGGAGTGCAATGGCATGATCTCAGCTCACTGCAACCTCTGCCTCCCAGGTTCAAGCGATTCTCCTGCCTCAGCCTCCCAAGTAGCTAGGATTACAGAGGCAAGCCACCACACCTGGCTAATTTTTGTATTTTTAGTAGAGATGGGGTTTCGTCATGTTGGCCAGGCTGGTCTTGAACTCCTGATCTCGAACTCCTGATCTCTAGTGATCCACTCACCTCAGCCTCCCAAAGTGCTGGGATTGCAGGTGTGAGCCCCTGTGCCGGCAGCTCTGATCTCTTTCTATGAGGCTTTCATATATGCTATTCCCTCTCCCTGGAATGACTTCCCCTCAGTTTCCTGCCTATAACACCATGGCCTTCATTTGGTCAACATCTCAACCTGACGTGTCCATTCAGATGTCCTTTCCTCTGTGAAGCCTTTCTTGTTTTCTCTGGGCTTGCCGAGCACCCTGGACTCCCCCTGCCATTGCCATTTGATTTTATATCTTCCAGGTCATTCTGTTATATCCTCAAGACCTAGCACATGCCTGGCTGTTGTGAGCCTCTCATAAAAGAGATCTATGAAAGCATCATGTAGCCAGCTTCCAAGATGGCCCCCAGTGATCCCTGCTTCCTGGTGTTGTTCATGGCCTTGTGTAGTCCCCTCCCACACTGAAGAATGCTGGTCTATATTACCAATTAGATATTGCAAAAATTATAGTCTGTGGCGCTCTCTCTCTCTCTCTCTCTCTCTCTCTCTCTCTCTCTCTATGTCTTGACAGAGTTTCGCTCTTGTTGCCCAGGCTGGAGTGCAATGGTGCGATCTCGGCTCACTGCAACCTCCACCTCCATAGTTCAAGAAATTCTCCTGCCTCAGCATCCTGAGTGGCTGGGATTATATGCATGCACCACCATGTCCGGCTAATTTTGTATTTTTAGTGGAGGGTTTCTCCATGTTTGTCAGGCTGGTGTCAAACTCCTAACCTCAGGTGATCTGCCTGCCTTGGCTTCCCAAAGTGATGGGATTATAGGCATAAGCCACTGCACCCGGCCTAGTCTGTGACTTTCAAGGCTTAGCTATAAAAGGCATTGTGACTTCCTCCCTGCTCTCTCATAGATCACATGCTTGGCCGTGTTGTGAAGACACACGAGTAGCCCTAGAGGTCCACATGGTCAGGAACTGAGGCCTCCTGCCAACAGCCAGCACTGACTTGCCAGGCATGAGAATTAGCTACTTTGCAAATGGATCTTCCAGCCCCAGTCAGGTATTCAAATGACTATAGCCTGACAACTGACCGCAACCTCCTGAGACTTTGAAGCACAACTACCAAGCTCCCAAATTCCTGACCCATAGCATCTGTGGGGTGTAAGAAATGTTTTGGAATAATAGACAATTGATGCACACCTAAAAGTGTCTTTTTTTCATGATAAAATTGTTAAGGTCTTTTGTAGAAAAGTTCAATTCTATTTTTCGTCTTTCTGAAGATTCTATTTGTTTCTCAGTGGTCATATCACACTTTGTGAGAGACGCTGACGTTATCAGCAGGCAGCAGCCAGAACACCTGGTAGCCCCTCCCAAGTGACCCCAAGCTGGCTGGGGCCCTTCCAGGGCTCCCCACTTCCAAGGAAACTGGGAGTGGGAAAGAGTTGGGTTTCAAATTTGCTGGGGCCCTCGCCCACCTCATTAGAAAAATCAGAGAGGAGGCCAAGTCCATGGCAGCTGTTCATATGACATACTTTATTTCCGATCTACAACCATTAAAAACGCTTTATAAGTTTACACTGTACAGTTATTCTCATGTCTGAAATAAGACACAGGGGCAGGGAGAGCTGGTGGATTGGACCGCAGTTGTCCTAGCACCCGATCCATCCTGGGAAGGAGCCTTTTGAAGACAGAAGTGTAAAGGAGAGAACAGTGGACAAGAGAGGCGGACAGTTGGCCCAAGGATGCCCTTGGTCCCTTCCCTCCCATGGGCCTTGCCCTGGGGGTCCCCCAGGGCCCATGACTGCAGGACCCTCACCAGGAAACCAGGCTGAGTGGGAAGGGGGTTCACAGTATTGGCGGGGGCTGGGGAGGGGGGCCAGGATGAGGAGGAAGGGCAGCTTCTGGCTCTCTTCCCAGCTGCTGGGGGTTGGAGCTGTTTTTGGCACTGTCTACAAGGTCTCCCTGGGGTTGGGAGGAGGAGGGACTGGGGATTTGGGATTCTTTCCTGGTGGAGTTAGATTTCTTTGCATTTGAGGAGGGACCATCTGGCCTATGGTGAGGTTCCCAAGGGATAAACAGTCAGGGTCTTCTGCTTCCTGCCTCCCCAGGACTCCCACCCCCTCCCTGGCAGGCACCATCTACACAGCCTTTTGTAAAACCAAGACAAGTGAGACAGGTGAGCAGGAGCAGGGAAAGGAAAAACGTATGCTTTCTCCAGGCCCTCCAGCTTCTCTTCCAAGAGGAGAGACTATAGGGTTGGTTTTTGTTGTTGGTGATTCCCAATCTCAGGAGTCCAGATGAGGCTGCCGTTTTCCACCTGTTCTTGGCCTAGTCAGCCCCAGTCCCTCCCCAGGCTACACTAATGGCTAGCCCAGATCGGCAGCTGGCATATTCTTGTGCATGTGAGAACCATCTGGAGGGCTCCTTCAAACCCCAGCTTGCAGGGCCCCACTCCACAAGCTCTAATTCAGTGGGTCTTGGGTGGGGCCAATAATTTGCACTTCTATCAAGTTCCCAGGTGATATTCCCCCTGCTGGAATGCAAAATGTGAACCACTGGCCAAGAATGATGACCACAGTCACTCATCCTTAGCAACCTGGTGCCTCCTGGGCAGCACTAAGGAGCTGGGCCACAGCTGGCAAAGCCCAGCCTTGGGGCAACATATCACCTGGGAAGCAGCTGGGAATGGTTCTGGGGTGAGTCCCCTGTACAGAGAACTAAGTAAGGCACAGAGATCAGCAACAGAGCTGAGAGAGGAGCCAGGACACCAGGGCACAG